TTATTAATTAATCGCGTTATTGTTGGTGGATCTCGTAATATATTAATTGCTCCATTTGATCAGATATATACGGGAAATATTATGTCCCTTGTAACTGAATATTTAAAAACGTAACAAAAAATGTATGAGAGTAAAAAGCAAATGTCAATACATGAACGTATTGACATAAACTTCCGTACAAAAATGTGTGGGCTTTAATTTAGCTCTTATTCAAAAAAACGCAAAAGAAGACAGAGGAGAGAGGGAGAGAAAATATACGTGACAAAAACGGCTGGCGTTTTTCAGCTCTCCGCGACGTTGTCCGACAGCCAAACGGTCAATAAACCGTGCTGAACCAGCGAATTTGGAATTTTTGTCGTGGAGCATAGGCTCGTGTCGGCGCGGATATAATTGGCAAGTCGATGGCAATTGACTGCCAATGTGTTCGCGACAGGTTATAAACGTCGCGCGCAGCGATCGAACATGCTCGTATCAATTACACTTCGTTTCTCTATCCTCTCGCGCACATCCCGAGGCGTCATCTCACCGTTAGAAACGTGCAAAAAGCGCGGACGAGAGTCGCGTAGACGACAGGGGTGATCGCCTTACCTGCGAAACATTCGTCTCTCTCTCCCGGGGAGGAAGAGGGGGAGGAGGCGCGAATCCGTTCCCGAGGCGGGCGCGAGAGCGGGCCCGTCGAGACTGGCCCGCGACGACAGCTAAGTGATCACTATGAGGGAAGCGGCGGCGACATAATAGTCTGATGACAACGCGAGGTGTGTGGCGACGTGAGTGGAGACGAGCCGGTAGGCCAGCCAGCCGCGCACCAACTGCAAAAGCCGTGCGGAAGCAGCGGCGGCATCCTCGCGATATCGCGCCTCGCCTGATTATGCCGTTGCCACTAGCCGGCCCGCGATCGATACGCGCGCGCGCGCGAGAGAGCGAACGAGCGCGAACGAGCGAGCGAGCGAGCGAGCGAGCAAGCGAGAGAGGGAGAACAAACCGCCCCGTTTCGTCGCGTGGCGGTCTCAGCCGGTCGCGATCGGTAACTGGACGGTACCGGACGGGATGCGTACCGCTAATTACCTAGTCTACAAAAAGACATTGTTTTTGCAACGGTGTTTTGTCTAATTTTTTTGAAGCTAAAAAACGGATCTGATCCTTAAATTTGTGTCGCGTGAAAAATTAAAAACCAACAGATTATAAAGTTCATAAAATTACATGTAAAAAGAATATATAATTGCATGTAATATATAATTGCATATTTTATTAGGTATAAAGAATGCACGATTGTAGTTGATTATATCCGAAAATGAAAATTGTAAATACTCTGAAAGTAAGATCGAGAGAGAGAGACGAGATTTAACGGTTTCCTCTTTGTTTTAATTGAGCAATAAACTATTCTACATTCTATATTCTTATAATATTCTCAAAGATATTTTATTAAGAAACTTCTTATATGCCAAAAAAACTCTTTCGACAAATTTCAACCATTTTCGAAAATATTCTTTCTGAAACTTTTTCATAGATCATTTCTAGAAACACTTACTCATGGCGGCGATATTGGCAACGGAGAGATTTGGAAAAGATTCAGACGATTCTTCGATCCATTCTTTCTAAAGGGACCGATTGATTGATTCAGTGCGTTGTCACAATAAACCTGATGAAACACTTCACGATGGTATACAGTAAATTTATACAGTTTTTATACAGTAAAAATTGCGAGGAAAAGAACACACGCGATTCTGCGAGAGTTGCAACGTAATTGAGCGTCGTTCGACGAGTTGATATTGCGATTCTCGAAGCTTCAATCGACGCAGCGCGAACTTCACATCATAGAAAGAATATCAATATCGAAATGCTTCAAATATGTTTCGAATATATGAAGCATATATATGAAGAATATTTATTATTACAAAAAAGCATAATTAATGCGATTAGCTATGGAATAACAATACGCATTATGCATTATACTTGACGATAATTGTGAATTTATTACATCTGATGCTAATGCGTTTCTAAAAAAAGGAACGTTGAAACATGAAGAGAACTTTAGTTCTCAAAAACCAAAATTGCTAAAACGATCCTGATGTGATACACAATTTATGAGACACTTTGAATAATTTTCGGGCACAAAATTCACATTTAAATAATGATAAACGCGAAAAATACAAAACGATTTATTCCGCGGTTTATTCCGCGATGTCATGCACTCGATAACTGACTCGCAAATCGAAATCTATTGGTCAAAGCAACGGACCAATCAATGTTTAATGCGGGAATCAATTTTGAAATGATCCAACAAAGACATAAGAAATAAATCTGTAAATCTATACAAATTTATAAAAATCAATTGCGCGAGATCTAATGTCTGATTTGGTGATTTATTTAATATTAATTCGATCAATAGAATCATCAATTTGAAAATATCAAAATGCTGAAACATTCTACAAAGAAATAGAATTCATTTAATATGATCAGTATGCCAAGACATGTAGAAAAATAGAATCTAAACTTGTTTATTTACTGTTATGTTTAATATCATTCGATATATATATATATATATGAAATCATAACATAGAGATGTAAAAATAGAAAGTGCATATAAAAGTCAATTTTTAATCAATTCTGAAAAACTATTTTTGATTGTTATAAATCTAATAAATATAAAATTGTAATAATTACATTATTAAATTTTACTAAAGAAAAAATTAAGTTAATAAATTAATCAAGTTTAATCATCGGAAATATCTAATTTTCAAAAATATTAAATCTTAATGCATACACACACACACACATACACACATTGTTATAAGATATATATTTCACTATATATACGGTAGCTATCGTAATTTATTTAACGTGATTGTGATTATTAAAAAAGTACGAATCATTGTTTTAATCTGGATAGAATTTATTACAAGAACTTGATTGAAGTTGAAATTAATGATAAGTGTTACTCTGATATTAAAAATAAAACTTTTGGTTTAAGGAATATTCGCAAGATAATCCTTGACATTAGATGGATCCAACTTTCTGAATCCATTTGCATCACAAATGCCGACTTCGATATTGTCCGCGGTCATTTGCCCCTCGAAGCCTTCCTTTAGTGTCAGGATGGCAGTGTGAACGGCATCATCTAATTCCAGATCCTCACTGTATCTCTTTTCAAGGAAGGTTTTGCCGTTAATGAAATTTTTACCCATTGCAGTTGCTTTCCATGCGAAATACGTGCCAGACGGATCGCATTGGAACAGGTATGGTCTGTTGTTATCCCAGCCGCAAATCAGAAGGGAGACTCCAAAAGGTCTGACACCTCTATAAATTAATAATAATAATTCGATTTCGTGTATCGTGTTATCGCTTATCAACAGCTAATCATGCTTCTCTATTCATTCAAGATAATTCTTTAACGTTTGAAATTATATAATCTTCAATGTAAAACTGGAGTAGAGTACAAATTGCAATGATCAAAGATTAACACATAAACTTACCCAGATTGTGTATATTCTTGCATGACCATTGCGACGCGTTGCACAAGTTGTGCAGTTGGAATAGGTTCCCGATACACTAAGAGATACTGTTGTGCCATTTTACGTGCTTGCTTCACTAATAATCTATAATCTGGACCCATGCCACTGTAGACCATACCAATGTGCTTTGTAATCATTTCAACTTTGCTGACACTATGTTCGTCATAGAGGATGGACTTGTGCTTATTCTCAGTAGCAAGAACGACGCCGTTTACTGCCTTGATGCCCACACTTGGTGCACCAGCAGCTACTGCAGCCAAGGCATATTCTATCTGTACTAACTTACCTGACGGACTGTAAAATACAATTTCATTAATCAATATATAAATTACATAAACAATATATAAATTATAATATTACGATATCATCTTTAAATATAATTTTAAATTTGACATATATCCAGAGAAATTGACGAGTCATCTTATCATGTTATATTAAAGTTTTTTGAATAAAGTATATTCAAACAAAATAATTATTTATATATTCGCTAATGAGCCACTAAGATTAATAAAAAAATACCATTAATTAACACCAAAATTTTTCACTCATGATAATTACAGAATGTGCTGAGTGTAGATGATTTAGAGGTTAAGTTACTGATAAATTTATTCTCAATGACGCTCATTTTTTAAATAGAATAATAATTAAAAATGTATTGTTTCGCACACAATTATTGCATTATAAATGTATTTACCTAAAGGTTGTTAATGAAAAACTATACCGCTCCGAAGCCATGACAATTACTCTGCAACAATACGAACAACGGTACGATACAGAAACACAATCTGCACTTACCACATTGGCAGTGATGATACTGTGCTATGAAGCTTGGCAGAAGTGATTTGACAGTACCTGTAAAACACAAACGAAATGTTCCTAGATATCTCTAAATAAAACTAGAATAATTTAATTTAAAAAGAATATGATTTATAAATGTGTTTAATATAGGTATAAAACAGAAAGCTAAAGCTTATTTTTTTATTTATATTTTTAAAAATAATTATTATAAAAAGGGAAAAAATCAATGTTATTCTTAAAACTTGATAAAAATAAGAGACATATGTACATTGAAAATTTAAAAAATGCAAAAAAAAAACATTAGGAATCGATACAATCAGCAAAAAAATTTATCATTTTTTATTGTAACTTATCTTTTACTTTTTATGTTTCTAAAGAAACATGTTATTATTTTTTATCGTTTTTCTCATCTTTTTTAAAAGTAGATTTACTCATTAGATATAATAGAACTATAATAGAATTCTTAATTTATTGTTTTCTATTGTTTTGATGGAATATACAATTGTTTTTACAAATGTAATTCTCATTTAAGAAATAACTAGATTAGGTATATATTTGAAATATAGTAATAAAATATGTAATTGTTATTTCTGTAATTAAAATATAAATTAAATACTTATTAATATTTAAATAAATTTCTGATCTATCTAAATCTATCTAATAAAATACATATTTCTTTTAACACTTGAAACTTCAATCTTTACTTTATTTTTTAAGAATGTCACTATGTTGAATTATTAAAGAAATTGATAAAAATGAGATAAATAGAATAATTATAAAAGAAGCAATAAGAAAATCAGTCGTTTATGATATTCTTTTTATTAATTTATGATTCATAACTATAAATAAAAATGATTGAATGGTTTTGTATCGTTTCTTTGAGTTTTTAACAAGGATTTCTTTGAATATGTTTATAATATGATGATATAACTATAATTTTATTTCAAACTTTAAACTTTGATATTCTCAAGTATATTTTTTTTTGTTTTATATTGATCGACTATCTTCAGATTTGATTCAAAAGAAAAGAAGATCACACCCGGTTTACATATCGCGTCGTGTCAATGAGCGATTCTGCGTCGCAAAGGAAATCGGATGACAGTATGACCCAGAATTTCTCCGTTGACCAATATACCAAAACGCGAAATAATTGATACGAATATGAATTGATTCGAATAAGAAAATCAATAAAAGGAACGAAAGATGATCGGTGACACGGCGCAGATCAACAAGGAATTTATTGAATGGATTGACAGCGTTCCGTTTTCAAGACCCGCGAGAAACTTGACGAGAGATTTCTCGGACGCCGGTAAAATCGCCAATTCCAAGTCAATTCTTCTGCAATCGGATTCTTTCTCTTTTTTTTTAAATATATGCATTTAATCGATTATTAATTCGGACGGAATGATTTAAGACAAAATTTCGAGCTACATAATTCATTGTTCTTGGCCTAACTTTTTTTTCTATACGTCGACAAATTTATTTCTCATATTAAAATAATACATTACTTGATAAAATAATACAGACATTACTTGATAAGTTAATGACTGACCAAGTTAATCGGAGTTTGATCGAAGACATCCTAAGTCATTGCGTCCCTCGACAGTTCTTACGGCAGAGATTCTGAAACTATACTATCCCCGACACGTGGAGCTTCACAACTACGCGCCGGCAAATAGCATAAGTTCGAAGAGAGAAAACTGGAAGATGCTGAATCGAAAAGTACTTGCGAAGCTCGAGATGAAACTGAGCAGCGACACGATCCATCAGCTGGCGAATGGATCGCAAGATGCGATCGAGAAGCTCTTAACGAAGTTGAGAATGAAGATTCTGAGGGACGGTGTAGAAATGCACAGGCCGAAACTCAAGGACGGAGAAGACAATGTAGAAGGCAACAACGTGCAGATATCAAGTGACCAACCTAATTTGCCTAATGATACTTCGACATGTCTCGTTCATTTCTAAGTGTATCGTATTCTTCACAGGAAATAAGATCGGAGATAGCTTGTCGGACAACAACAGCCATGTCAAACAGCCGGTAGAAAGTTTAAATAACCTCAATACCGATAGTAAAACTCGCGAAGTTAAACCGTCAAGTCTTATGTGCTTCAAACGAGGGATTCTCGTTATCTCCAGTTGGATTATCTGTTTCTTCTGGATATGGAATATCTTTAACATACTTCCTCATTTCCGAAGGCGCCGAAGTGAGATATTTAATACATAAATGAGACAATTTATGACAATTTAACTTTAATATTGATAAATTTTTAAAGGCAACACACTCGAAGATGTTACAACGGAGCAGATTGAAGATACAAAGGACGATAATGTACAACGTACGATTTACGCGGAATTGAAACAGGAACTGCGCGAAAAAGAGGAAGTGATAAGCACTTTGAATCATAAGATCACATATCTAGAGAGTTCGATGAAACTCAAGGATCTGCGCATTTCCAGTCTGGCGGCACAAATTCTACAAAACGCTGTCGAAATGGATCAATCAGCGAAGTCGCAATCGATCGATGGCGCACGTGCCAAATTACGTTCACGATCGCACAATTTTCATGAAAACAAAACAAATTAGAAATTCGTAGTGCAAACTTAGCAGTGAAAACTTAGTTGTGAAATTATAAATAAAAAATTAGTGAGATTTATTATATCACATGTAGCAAATTACTTTGTCATGTTACAATCGTCTTTTTTAAATTATAAATGAGAATCTATATTTGCCATATGAGAATCGAATTTTACTTGCATAATTCAATTGATTGAACCGAATAACCTCATTCTTGATAAATAAATAATTAATGAATAATATTTTGATTAATTTCTTGTTCTTTTAATGAATTTGAAGTTTTGCATTATAATTATACTGCATATTGAATCGTTTTATTCCGAGTCTTTCTAACAATTTGTTAAAATAATAATCAATTTTTTTCAACCGAAAAATATTTACGCAAGTATATATACTTGGCAATACTTTTTTACTTTATTTCATTTTTATATCATGTAAAAATTATTTTATCCTTCATATATTTAAAAATTCTTGCATAAAGTTTATGCAAAGATATTTGGAGCTTTGTTAGGAAACATTTGAAATAATCTCACGGGGGTTTCATTTTTTATCATATAAGAAGAATAAATTAAAATATACGATTGGAAGCTCAGAACCATTGGGTATGTCAAGGCCGTTTTCTCATCATCGTTTCTTACTACAAAAGGTGGGGATGCCGATATTGTCCGTTCACTTATACAGAAGACCTCGAAAGCGGGCCTTTAACGTCAGTAGTATACCGGCTCTTGGATCGTAACGGCACACGAAATACCGGAGAGGTTTAATGAGGAATTTGCTATAGCAGATGTGAGTACGATTATGTAAATTCAATTAGCGCACCTTTCTTTACAATAGGTCTTCACATTACGAGATTTATTAATAATCAATTTCCACACAGATGCATTATAAGTAACCATGAATGTCATTTTTCAGAGATACTTTTTATAGAAACATCGAAGGTATTTCGGATATTTTTGAAGTTGGAATTAAAAATAAAAAACTGTACATACAATGGGTACATGATATCACGCACAAAGATATCTTTCATTGTAATTTTATTATACGTCAATCTATAGATTTTTATGGAGTAAATTTAAGAAAAAAATCTATTTGAATTGTTGAGTTGGTCGGAACCGAAAGCGGGAGAAATCAAAAAACAAAACAATGCTCAAGTGGTCTGGTCTCAATATCACGTTTCGCAAGATCAAGTTTCGGATCAAGGCTCGATGGCTGAATAATTTCATTGCATAACGCGAAGATGAAGAGGAGTATAATAAAATTAATGTTTTCAGAAAAAGTAAAAGACTCATAGTTCCTTACATTACATTAAGTAATTAATAGATTCTAAAACTACATACATCATTTTATCAGAAAAGAGACATTAATTTGATATTAATATCAAAATTATATCAAACATTTTATGTCAAACTCTCTCGTAAATGATAACTTATTGATAATAATTAAGCAAATAAATTATCAGTAATTATCGGTTATAAGTAATGCGATTTTTTTCTAAACTTGACTATATCATTTTACGTCATTATTGTTATAAAAATGTAAATTTTATTGTTATAAAAATGCAATATATATGATGCATATTATCTATTATTCTTATAACTTTATTTGAAATGATTTTGACGTAAAACTCTGCTTTTCTTGAAATTTATATATGGTTCAATCAATTGTTTTTAATCATCACTTTGTTTATCACTTTGTACAAATTTGTGTTTGATATCATGTATCTCAGATAAAATTACTTTTAATTACATTTTTAATGAAATAGGTAGGATAAGCAGATTAAATCGAAGAATAAATTCGATATTTTTAAAATGGTATGCATGGTCAATGACCTTCTTGTACGCAAACGCGTACATCCGGACATACTTTCAACTTGTTCTGACTAAGCTGAAAAAATGCACAAGTGTGAAGACGCGTTTCCCTGAAGTAGAAAAAAAATCTATATTCAAGAAGATCGTATCTCGAGACTTTTTCTTTCTCTAAACCGATAATAAAATATATTACTTGAGAAATTCATATTGCTAATGTTAATGTAAATTTTTTAATTTTTAATTTATAAATTCGCAAATTTTCAATTTATATCAAACGCCTTATTAAGTCTACTATTTTAAAAAAATTTATTTTCTTTCTTTATCACTTTTCCTTTTGTTCTTGCACACAGTGCGATATTAAAATGTTATGTTCATTAAAAATAGCTACGTAATTTAAAATTTTAACATGATATTTTTTAAAAATTATTTTTAGATAATATGATATTGAATAGCATTCCTTGCACAACGCTGCTTGTTTGGATTGCGGCTGTTGTGTCGGGTGGTGCAATACTGCTTCTGGTGGGTCTTCACCTCTACGCGTCTTATAGTTTGGGCATTTGCAAAAGTAAAAATCGAATGGATGGTAAAACAGTGATAATTACCGGATGTACTTCCGGTATTGGGAAGGAGACCACGAGGGACCTCGCCAAAAGAGGCGCGAGGATTATTATGGCATGCAGAAACATGGATACGGCTAATCGATTGAAAGGTTTCATAATTAAAATAATTATTCTAACATTATTGAACTAAATGGAAATAAATGGTCACTACGAAAATAATATAATTATTTCCGTTATCTTTATCTTTCAATCTTTCTTGATAATCGTTATATTGTGAAATGAAAGATTCATCTCGATCATCTTTCCAAGAAGTATGATGTAAATTTATGTAAAAACGTTACGGGTTATTATCCACGTACAACTTATTTAATTGATCGTGGTTTAATGAATTAATTACAATATTATTTACGAGTGAATTGTCTGCGAGTGAGCAGTGCGCTCGTTAGCTTATAATTAAAGGTATTGATGTCGCTTATAATTGCAAATCAATATGCTCGCTGAATGAAACGTTTTTATCGCTATACGTATATTTATTATGTAAAATGTATTTAGGGTACTTGCATAATTCTCCGAAGAGTCCACTTCCTCGTTTGTCAATGCGTCGCTTTCGCAACATTGTATAACGATCACGTAGTTAAATGTCAAATAAAACACGATAAATAAATACGCACATATACATTCTCACATTTAGAAATGTAAAGTTTATTTGAAATAAAATCATGAAATTAAATCTGCCTTTTGTATTCTTTCTTAAAGAATTACTTTTTTCAATTATTGTTCAGTTTAAATATTAAAAGCATTCAATATATAAAGAGCAATGTTTGCGCGCATTGTTTGCAGTATATCTTTTTGATATATTTTTCGTTTCTAATAAACTGAAGTATTTCATATATATATTTTTTATTTGCAGACGAAATTGTGAAAGAATCAAACAACAGCAATATCGTAGTCCGCAAATTGGATTTGTCATCGTTGCAATCGATCAGAGAGTTCGCACAGCAAATAAATCAAGAGGAAAGTAGATTGGACGTGTTGATTCATAATGCCGGAACTGCGGAGACTTTTAGGAAAATAGTCACAGAAGATGGATTAGAACAAACTATGGCTACCAATTATTTTGGGCCCTTCTTACTGACGCATCTTTTAATCGGTAAGAATCCTAACGTAAGATTGTTAGTTTGTTTGTTGCATTAAATTCAAATGGAATGAAGATAAATAAAATATTTTAATTGTAGTTTGTAGGCACATCGCATTTAATTGTGATCGATTAATTAACATTTGTGAATGTAATATGACAAAAGATAAGTTTGAACAATTTTAAGTCACTAATAATAATTTACGTAAAGTTTATTGTGTATACATTTATATACATTTATATATTGAGAAAAAAATTGTTGGTTCAAAGAGATATTTGATTTAATTATATGCAGCAAATTATCAAGTAAATATTTGTTAATTTACAAAAATATTTTGTTGATATTACTGACATATATTTAATTTAACTCACGTGTAGCTTGAACTGAAGGAATTACTATGACTAAACACATTTAGATGTTAATAACTTTTTTTGTTTGAATGCATACATTCAGCAAAGGGATGACATAAAATATGACACAGACGACACAAAAAAACAATGCGGTTTATAATAATCCAAACCAGTTTCTTCGTAATTTACGCAAAATGTTTAAAAAGTGTTATTATGTTATATTGTTTATCGTTATTAGCATTTATCGTTATTAGCATTATTGATCCAATAGATCAAACAGACAAGGCATCATTTTTTTATTATATAAATTACTTTATTACAAGGAAATTTTATTTGCAGATTTGTTGAAACGATCGAAACCGAGTCGTATCATAGTAGTTGCATCAGAACTCTATCGATTTGCATGTTTAAATCTCAATAATATCAATCCGACGTCAACTTTGCCGGCGTATCTGTATTACGTGTCGAAATATGCAGACATAGTTTTCACATTGGAATTGGCGCGACGTTTAGAAGGCTCAGGAGTGACGGCAAATTGCTTACATCCCGGGATGATAGACAGCGGAATATGGCGAAGCGTACCTGCTCCATTATCCTGGTGTTTGAACCTTATAATTAAGGCTTTCTTTAAAACGCCCGAACAGGGCGCACAAACGACTATTCATCTCGCCGTTTCTGACGAACTTAACGGAGTTTCAGGAAAATACTTCCTGGATTGTGCTGTAAGAACTTTGTTTTTAATCTCCTAAAGTTTAATTTTTTTTTCAAAAGAATTTTGATACTTCAAAACTTTTATAAATATATGTTGACTATGGTTTTTTAATTCTTTTAATACTCTTAAGTTTTTGAAACTTTTTTTAACTCACTTTAAACACTTTATATTTTAGGAACATAGATTGTCAAACGCTGTAAAGGATCCTGCTAAGGGCAAGAAATTGTGGGAATTAAGCGAGCCTCTAGTGAAGTTGCAACCGTCAGACCCAAAGATCTGAACGCGTGTATTCTTTTATAAATTTTTATATAATTTTTTTCATTTTGTTACTTATATTTGCGACGGTCTTTTGTACTTAAAATTTTAATAATAATTTTATATAACTTGTTCAATGAATATCAATATTTTAAAAAATTTTTTCATAGAAATAATTTTGCGAGTATTGTAAGTTTGAAAAAATTATTTTTTATTATGGAAAAGACGCTTTTTGTTTAATGAAGCTATGATATTATATTTGCATTTATCGAGTAATAAAATCGATATATTTTATTTAAGAATCAAGCCAAGTCAGCATATTTATTACATGTTACAGAATCGAAATGATTTAGATGTCAAATAGATTTCTATTTATTTAAAGGAAACAAACTATCCCATTTTTGCATTCTGTCAGGATAAAATCCTTTCTTCATTTTTGATTCCTCATTGATTTCTAGATAGTTGTCTCTTTCTACTAGGAATGGTTCCCATGTAACGTTGTTTGCCAAAGCTGGCGGTACCGGTTCTCCGGTTTGAACAAAGTTCGACCACATGCTTGTCATAAGTTCCACTGTGGGAATTT